TTTTGTTTCAAGACGGGGACTAAAAAACCTATGTCGTATAGACTGTAGTATCAAAATCGATGAACCGATTTCAATGGAACTTGGCTAAAATTTTCTCCTTGAAACCCTTAAAGTTTGTATATATAGTATATTTCGCCGAAAAAGTTATGAAGAGTGGTAAAATTAGATTTCAGACTAACTCAAACTTTTGTGATTTTTAAATTCAGGTGTTTTTAAGTTTTTTAAATTTTCAAAGTAACAAAAAAAGTTAATAAAGATATTGCGGGTTTTAAATTTTTTGGTTTATCAATAATCAACCTATAAAGTAAACCTCCTCTAAATTGGACATTTTTCAAGACACCTAAAATACGAAAATCGAACAAAAAAAAATTCCATCCATCCACTTTTCGTGGCTTACGATTATGCACTTTCAAATAAAGTTTACACTTGTTTGTTAATGTTGTATACATTTATTTAAACGTTTTCAAAATTTCCTAAAGAATAAAAAAGAGAATCGTTGAAATCGAACGATTTGGTGCAGATATAGTGTTGTTCCAAGTAATTACTACATGATCTATTGTCCCATACGTATGGTACGATGGCACAGCAAAAATATTGGAATGTTGCAAATAAAGTTATATATGTATTAAAAATTGATATCTAATAAAAAATAAAACATTAACTATATTCACTCATATTCACTCACAGAAACACATACATATATTACGTTGGTGGGGTCGTTAATGATTAAATACAGTTTCTAAAAATTTATGAAATCCAAGAAGTAGGTAATAAAAAGTTTAGAAGCGGGAAACGCTAATTTTTATATCTATCTTAGAAATCAAGTGTCCAGAAACGTGAAAGTATGATTTAGTATACTTCCTAATATTATTTGTTTGGAATATCCACACCAAACTGGATTTTAGTTAATGGAGGTATTTAAGCAACGAATGTTGGAACTAACGGCATCGAATTTTGTTACAAATGGATGAACTTTAAAAAATTAAATAAAATAATAACATCAACATTTAAAGTTTGTTTCGTTAGTGCAATAAGCATCATTTCAAAAACTAATTTATTCACATTGAATATAAATTATACCTACCTTATTCCTATCGGACTGAAGTCTTCTTTAAGACTGTTCTGGTCGATTTTTAATAGAACCCACGTCCCCGCACGCTTAAAGTAGTTTGTCGAATTACATCATGGAGAAGTGATCATAGGGAGAAATGCAAGAAACTGGTTCACCTAAATAAGGGACCAGTATGAGAGTCTAGTCTCCCGTCTCTCCATTAAAGATGGAGAAATACTTTCATTGTATTTTTTTCTAGGCAAAATCCAAATCCTGTGCATTGAAGTGAAGGTCGTGTATTTTTTTTACTGAATCGCTCTCTCCTGGGTTGGATTACCTCCTCGATTTTTTAAAATATTTTCCAGAACGTTGATGTTTTAAAGAGCGTTATTTTCATAAAAATAATTGCACCCAAATAGGTCTATAAATTTTCAATTAGATTCACGCCTGGATATTAAATATTCTCGCCAATGACTAACTTTCCATATTCTATACCTCAAGGGTTCTTAAATTTATAAATTTAAACTTATTTTTTTAGAACCATTCCAATTTTAGATATTTTATGCCGTTTTGAACAATTAGACGCCCAAGATCGGATTTATTGGAAATAGATAATCGGATTTTTGAAAGACCTTAAAAAAAAAAAAACAGTTGCAGGCTTGTCGGAGGGCTCTACAGAAGAACAATGAAACACCCTATCCCGAATCGTTAAAGAAACAGCAAAGGAAGTTGTAGGGATAGAGGAACGAGCAGTTAGGTCCCCGTGGTTTGATGCGGAGTGTGCAGTTGCTACGAATGTGAAAAATAAAGCCTACAAAAACATGGTTCAAAAGCGGCACACGAGAAGGACCACAGAGAAGTATAAAGACAGAAGGACGAAGAGAAGAGACTACACAGACGAAGGAGGAGCAAAGGGGACAGAATAAATCAAGGGCAATCTACAAGGTGGTGAACGAGAGTAGGACATCATTCAAACCAAGGGTCCGATTATGTCGAAACGAAGAAGGCTTCATGATCACAGAGAAGAAGCAGAAGCCCGATGGTCTCATCACTTTGATACACTTCTAAAAGGGTGCAGATGGTCCGGACGATTTCATAATCTCAAGTGCTGGGCATGACATGGATTCCCCACATCCACCGACATGTGAGGATGTTCTTGAAGCAATTAACAGGCTGATCAACAACTAAGTCCCATGAGAGGATGGAATTCCTTCTGAGCTTCTCAAGCATGGTGGCGAGGAATTCCAGAGAGCCCTCTACGACATCCTTACCATCTGGATTAAAGAGAAAATGCCAGATCAGTGGGAGAAGGGAATAATTTATCCACTACACAGGAAGGGTAATATCCTCGACTGCTCCAATCACCGTGGGATCTCACTTCTTCAGTGTGCATGTAAGATCGTCTCAAACATTATCTACTGCAAACTCCTCCCGTTTACTTACCAGAGAGATTGGTAAGTATCAGGTGGGGTTCAGATGAGGAAGATCTACAGTTGACCAGATGTTTAGATGATACTGGAAATGATACTTCCGTATGATACTGGAAAATTCTTAAGAGTACAGGATGATGACCCATCACCTGTTTATTGACTTCCGAAGTGCATACGACAGCATCAAGAGAGCTCGATTGTATGCAGCCCTGTGTGACCTTGGAGTTCCCCCGAAACTTGTCTGCCTCATCAAGATGAGTATGGATGATGCTAAGTGCACTGTTCGTGTACAATTGGATCTGTCACCTGAATTTGTTTCCACACGAGGAATTAGGCAGGGGGGTGGGCTTGCCTGCCTATTGTTTAACCTAGCCCTGGAGAAGGTGATACGTGACTCTGGGATCCAAACTACCAAAACTATCTTTAGCAGATTAACGCATATACTGGGATTTGCTGACATCTAGATCTGATGGCACGTTCCTTCCAGTCTCTGAAAAGTGCATTTTTAAGATTGGCTGAAGCGGCAGAAGCCATTGGGCTGGCCATGTGGCCAGAATGCTAGAAGAGGAAGTCCTAAGGAAGTTGCTTGATGTAAAGCTCTGCAGGACAAGAGAGAAAGGCAGACCACATCGAATATGGGAGGACACCATCATCCAGGACGTCAGAGAAGTATTGCATGCCCCCAACTGGCGAGCGACTGCGCAAGATAGAGCCATCTGGCGAGGGCTCATTGAGGCAGCCAAGGACCATACCGGTCTGTAGCACCATGGAATTGCTAGTTTAAAAAAATTACGATAGTTTTATCATAAAGTTTTATCATTTAGTAATGATAATAAAATACAAGTTTTGGAGCCACTTTAGTAAGTGGAGGTTCCCATTAGTGTAACCATCTCAGTTGGTTAAAATAAATAATTGTAAAAATGTATTTGTTATTTTCATAGATATATTTTGCAATTATAAATTACCAATGTCTGTACTTTCTATTTGTTTAAATTACGATTTTATAATTCAAAAACTAGAATTTAAAAGAAAAAATTGTCTCTTCTTATCATCATAAAAATAAAATCTTGTAGTTTTACTACATTATATATAAGGAAACAGAGCCAACAAAACCATGCTTATGACTGAAAAATAATGAAAATTAAACTGAAGATATATTAATTAATGCGGTTTTAGCCATTAATACTGCCTCTCTGTATTGGTTTAATTTTTCTGCCCACTGATTTTCGGAAAACCTTCTGTCATTTCAAAATAAGTTTTATTTTATTCATCATTAATAGGATTTGATTTTAAAAACCAGGTACTATTGACATAGAATATTAAACTTAAAATTTTTAATCAAGTAATCGATACCTATGGCTAAGAATAAAATAGTCTGATTGCAGTAATTTTTGCATTGTTTTCAGTGTAATCATGTATTTTAAACTTTTTAGAGGTTTTCTAATAATTTTCAAGGTTCTAAAATATTAAAAGTAATTGAAACAGACCCAGAGGCTGTTAAATTTTAACTAATTGTTATATCTCCTATAATGAAGTAAATAATAATTGCTTAACTTCAGTAAATTCCATATCATAAATCTCTTTAGGAACTTATTTATTTCTATTTCAATACATTTCCTCAGAAGTTTCGATAAAATTATAATATTTAGACTTTGCATGAAAAATATGAACTTAATTAACCCTTTTTATGAAATCTATGGACAGGAGATGTAACCTGTTTCAAATTAGGTAGATGCTTTTCAAGTCTGCAATGGCCAGTATAAATTCCCTATCATACTCCTCATCCATTTGGAGGAGAAATTAGATTCAACTTGTTATTTATTCAACAAGTTATTTAAAAGCATCAAATTTTCAGGTGATTGTCTGTTGTAAATTATTTCTATATTTTCATGAAAAGAGATCTACAAGTAATTTTTAAAAAAATTTATTTCAGTACTGGTCTAAGTTGGGGCCGCCCATCGTATCCAAGTGGCACATGCAAGGGAATGATAAATTTACTAAGGGCACATTAAAATAAATGTTACTTTTCTGAGAGATTGGGTGACTAATTGGGTAAGTCACTGAACTGCATTATTTTTGTCTGATTATAGTAGATAAATTATTAATTTTCATCAGCCATATGAAAATTAATATCCTGGCTTATTATCATGGAAGTAGTTAATAATAGATTCTGGATTGGAGAACTAACAAGATCCAATTTTTTTAAAGTTCTTAAATGTATGAATCGATTAATAATTTCTTTAAAGTCTAAATAATTCTTATTAAATTTTATTTGTCCATTTCTCAAAAATTTGTATTTGTCAAATGGTAAAAGTTTAATGCCTTTTCAATTACTGTCTTTAAAAATTTATTCAACGATCAAGCTTAGCACCAATTGTTTACTACATAATTTATCATTAATTTTTATAAATACATTGCACAAAATAACTTGTTTTATTTTTCGAATTAACATAACTGTATTTTTAAGAAATTTAAGAGTAATTACTGAAAACTAACAATATTGAAAATCCCAGAGAATGAATTATTTAAGAGGGCCATTTTAAATAAGCTAATTATTTTAAGTATCTTGCAGCTTTCCTAAATTATTTCAGAATGTAATAGGAGAATGAAATTTGAAAGAGAATCTAAGCTTTTTCAGAACTAAAATTATGGTTTTCTAGTGATTGAGATATATAGACTAAGATATGCATATAAAATTTGCAGGTTATTTCTGATGTGCAGAATGGTGTGGTACAAGTTAAAAAAAATATGAAGTTTTAAAATGCAACAAAAGGCAAAGACAAAAATGGAGCAGGGAGTCAGGGATGAATGATTTCTATTATTTCCAAAAGAAAAACAACCATTATTTTTGTTTCTTATTTTCTTCTCACTTCTTGACCTTAGGTAAAGTTAACACTTATTCTTGATACCTTATGATTAGATATAAATTTACATTGAAAATTAAAGACCATCTCTAAAATTATCTAATTGTAAGTAATCTCATTATTAACGCCTTTACTAGAAAACAAATTAATAATTAGTTCAATAATTAAAATTTACAAACACACACAATGAGGTAGGACTTACTATTCAACAGAATACCATTCATGAGTTAAAAATAGAATTCATAAAAGCAGATATTATTTACTCTCTTTTTTTAAGATTGAAATACAATATTATATGAATGTTTTTTTTTTTGTTTGTTTTTTTAATGCATTATTATAATACACTAAATGGTGAGTTTCTAAAATATTCTTAAAGGAAAACAACTCTACCTTATTTCAGTAATACTCATTATCCGAATTCCAAAAAAATAAAGATGAACAACGTATTCTCATACCATTGCAAGAATAATCAATTTTTCTTTTTTCAACATTTTATGTTTCAGTAATTTAAATTTTCACTTGAGAACATCCCAGTCTTCCTTGATCAAATCTGCTGCTTTTTCTCCAATCATATAACTTGGTGCCATGGTATGAGTTCCTGGAATGTTGGGCATTATTGAAGCATCTGCAACTCTCAGACCTGTTATACCATGGACTTTCAGTCTTGAGTCAACTACAGACCATTCAGGATCAACTCCCATTCGACATGTACCACACTGGTGATGCCACTGTATAGTAATACTTCGTATACCACACTCCCAATATTCATCAGAACCAAATTCATACTGCTCACAGCCATGTATAGGCTGTGAAAAAAATTCTGCCCCTATGCTCTTAAAAATCTTTGTTTTGCCAAACTCCATGGCAATCTTAGCACCTTCTCTTAGTATAGCAACATCATCAGGGTGAGATAAAAAATTGCTATCGATTACTATAGGATCTAATGGGTTTTTACTTTTAAGCTTCACGTTTCCTCTACTCCTGGGATACATCATCATCTGAGCTATAGTGAATCCTTCTTTAAAAAAAATTGGTTTCCAGGTTTTTTCATAAACATCTTTACTGATGTTTCTAGTTTTTGGCCAAAAAGCACCACCATCAGCAGCCGGTGTTGTTGCCAAAAATAATAGCTCTATATCTGGCTTGTCATCTTTAGCATATTTTGTCTGCACATATCCCAGAGCTTCAGCTATGTTACAAGAAAATATCCCTTTATCTCCCCTCAACCACTGGATAAAACTATTCGGAGCCCCTCTTAGCAGCTTAGGTATCGTAATACTATCTGTTGTATTTATAAGGAATGAAACAGCTGTTCCAAGATGTTCTTGCAAATTGTATCCAACTGGAAGATCAGCCACTAATGGAATTCCTATATTCTGTAAATGATCTGCAGGACCAATCCCAGAAAGCATCAATATCTTTGGTGAACCAAAAGTTCCAGCCGATAAGATGACCTCATTTTTGGCTCGAACTGTTCTCTTTTTTGAATCTTTTATAAATTTCACTCCATAAACTTTCTTTGAGTTTGAATTTAGAAGCAAGTTTGTAACATAAGCATTTTTGACAATGTGTAAATTAGGCCTTGTTTTTATTGGTAGCAGATAAGCGGAAGCAGCACTTTCTCTTCTAACACCTCTCATGGTTGTCTGGGTTGTTGACAACCCTATCATAGTTTTTGGATTGTTGTAATCAATGGTATCATAACCCATTTCCTTCCCGGCTTCCAGGAACATTTTCCCCAGTCTAGTCTGGAAAGGATATTGTATGTGTACAGGGCCATTGGTTGAATGATATTTTGATCCAGCCAATTTTGGTATTGACATGTTTTCAAGTTTTAAAAAGTAAGGTAAAACTTCTTCATATGACCATCCAGGATTCCCTTCAAGCCCCCACCTGTCAAAGTCTGAGGGATGACCTCTGGTAAATATCATTCCATTAATTAGAGTGGCTCCACCAACACCATTTCCAGAAGGCCAATGGCATATTTTATCAACGAGACCTAAACAAGCATTGTCTTCCTTTACAACATCATAATTAATTGAAAAGTTTCCAAGTAGAGTATACTCGTTGAACAAAGGGATATCATTATATATATTACCCTCAAGACCAGCTTCCAGGAGTAGAACCTTCCACTCAGGAATTTCTGAAAGCCTGTTAGCTATAGCTGAGCCAGCAGGACCTGATCCAACTATTATAAAGTCATATTCAGGGAATATTGGTAGGTTATCAAGGAAAACATTTTCTCTGAATGGAATTCCTTGTTTAAGGTACATACGATTTATTTCGTCGAAAATGGTCCCTTTTCCATTGACAAATAGGAGGCATAGTAGCACCAATAGAGAATATTTCCTCATTTATTCCTCCTGTAAAATAATAAAATTTTGTTAAGAATCGATATTATGTATTATTGTTAATATATATATATATATGAATGTATGTGTTAATAACAATGTATTATTATTAATAAAATTATGTCCTAAGTTATATCTTATTAGGAAATAAATACCTATTGAGAAAATACAATAGGAATTTTAAAAAATAAGTAACAAATGAATTTTCATTGTTTAAGTACTCATTAAACTCATAATTTAACGTTATTCAATTTCTTAAAGAATACCTTTTTTTCCTTTGATGCACCGTTTAGGAGTTATAGGTGAAAAAACTAAAAAAGATTAAAAAAAATTGGCTTTTTTGGCTGTAAAAAGTTTTCCATTCAAGGTTTCCATCGGTCCACGTTAGCAATTTTGTTTTTTACATGTCTAAATCCATATGTACAAGTTAAAAAACAACGTTACCCACATTTTTCATAATGAATTTCCCATTTCGATCCTCAAGTTATTGGCCTAATATTTTTTAAATCATCCGTCATTTTTACAAGAAGGAAGATCCGACTGACAGACTGATTTTTTAAATATAAATGTTATAAATATTCAAAAAAATGATTTCAAATTTTTCTTCAAATAATGTAGATTTTTACACGAGCTCTCGGACTATTTGGTAGCTGAAATATAAAAGTTATGTTAAAAAATATGTTTGTGATTTTTTCAATATTTGGCTCAGATCAGTCATAGAAAGAGAATATGGAGGTATGAAAAAAAAATGATCTATTAATAAAAAAACATCATAGTTTTAATAAACATTTTCAACTTCATTTTGAGAACAATACATATATTTCATTACAATTATGTTTCACAAACACAAAAAGCCTGAAGATATTGGAAAATTTTTCTTTCAGAATCTAATATTATTTCAAATATCCAGTACGTGTACAAACATCATTATGCTAACCAATAACGCTCTTGTTGATATAAAAATTATATTGATACGATACATGTATACAATCCAAATTAAATCTAACAAGCATGTTTAAATATTTGCCATAATTAATAATATAATTATAGTTTGCTTAATTATTAATAAAATAGGTAAATTTCATAAAAAGATTTAGTTTGTATGAATTGCACTATATCTTTGTCAATTTCATTATTAATTCTTAGGTATAAGTCAAGAGAAAATATGGCGCAACAGTTTGCTCAGTAAATTAAAAGCATTTATTCCACTGATGTACAAATGAATTTTACAGTTGTATCTAAAATATAATTTATTCCGTATAAAAGTCATAAGTTCTTTTAAATAAAAAAATAAAAATTAAGTACCGCAGGGCAATGTTTTGTGTACTACACTTTTCAATGTATATCCCACAACATTTTATGAACTCTGTTAGCTACATTTGCTGATGAATCAACTATTCATTCAAAAAGATGCCAATAAGTCTTCTCAAGTATTCGAACACCAGCAGGACTAGCTTTCTGGACCAGAAAATGAAGATAAAAATGAATGAGTACAAAAAAAAATTTTGTCTCATTTGCTATTTTAAATTTACAGATACGATTCTTGTCATAAGTGTTTTTAACAATATTCCCATAAGGAATTTGGAAATAGTACACTATAGGATTCTCTATATAGAAAAGAACACTGACATTGACAAACCACATAAGACTGAAAAGAAAACAAAGCATTCAAACTTCTTTTTAGGTTGCAGACGTCCTAAATGACTACTGACTAATAAATTAACTATTTATAAAGCCCTAACTATGGGTTTTGAGGCATTGAGGTATGGGATACAATAAGAAGTCAAATTTAAAAAAATAAAATACTAAGAAAAATTGGAGATTCTCCCTCTTATGTCTCTAATGAGATGTTACACACTGACATTCCTTTCCTCCCAGCAATTGCCACAGAAAGCACAGTGGCCAAATGGCCAATCTAGTGGGACAAAAAAAGGGCCTTAATTTTTATATGATTACATTCAGGTTCTAACCTAATGTAGTTAAAATTCCGAAAAATAATGTTCATTAAATAACCTTTCAAAAGATACTAATCATGTTTACAGGATCATGTTTAAACAAGTATCCTCATATCTCACAGTAATGGTGTTACTATTAAAAAATGATGCTCCTTTTTGCAACTATTTGAAATTGGGGATAATTTTTTCTACTATCTCAGATAATTCACAAGGAGTCAATTTTTCGGAGAATGATTTCAGTCTGATTAGGAGGAACTTGGAAGATATATGGAGGGATCTATGAAATTAATAACAATAAAAATTTGAAATTAAAAAATGAAGGAAAGTTGAAATAATGATTATGATGAAAATCATATTTTATAAAAAATAAAAAAATGTGCATAGACCTATAATAAGATAAGTTTGAAGCTTTGCTGATCATTAGATCACCGTTAACGTCAACCTAAGCTGTGCTGAACCAGGCCATAAAACCTCATCATGACTGCGGCTATGGGACGAAAAAATAAAAATGTAAGCACGTGCTCTCTTAAAGTTGTCAGGAAGTAATATTAACTATGGAATAATCATTAAATTTATTGGCAAACATGATGCCTTTTTTTTCTTTACTGTAAGAGCTTACTTCGATGATTTGTTGGATTTAGGATTATATAAGAACACAGTTATTAGCAAGCTATGATGCGATGGGGATGGGTTTAGTATCCCTATACTCCTTGCTACGTTTTATGCAACAATAATATTTTTAATGTGATCTTTTCTTCAGATCAAAGCAGAACTTCTTGGGATCTGACCGAGATTAGATTCATAACGAGTTTTTAATAGTTTATGTTACTAAAAGTCTAGTTGTAGAAAACATAGTGAGGAATGCTGGTATACAAACAACAGGAACGATATTCACAAAAAGTACTCAAACATTAGCCTACGCCGATGATTTTTTTTTATGTCTTCCCCTTCCTCGCCTATAAGGTTATACAAGATTTTCCCGGACAGGAGGTGAGGGCGGGGATTTAAAAGATCCCCCGGCACCGGGACGCGATCTCGTGACTATTTTTTTATCAATTTGTCTTCATCAGGTTGCCGGGCAACAGCGGTGCTGTGCACACGCGTTAGCCCGTTTGGCCACTCAACCCGCCCTACGCCGATGATATAGGTATTCTTGGAAGAACCTTGACAGCTATGATGGACGCCTACAGCTCGCTGGAGGCAGCAGCAGTTAAGATGGAACTGTGGCAACGAAGAAAAGACCAAGCTGTAGTAGATAATCCCTAGTATTTACTCCTTTATGTTACATAGTGTGAGAGAATGAGAAGGAATATGAGATTGCACTATGAATTGTGCAGTGGACAAATTGTTCATTGAAAAGTCTGATATCGATAAACAATCAACGAGGAAGGAAGAAGCTTGAAAAAGAACCGAGCAGGTAGCAGTAGATGGAGAAGGACGCCGGAGAGAAAAGAAAGGACTTGAGGCAAGGGCATGAAGGAAGGAGGTTACTTGAGAAGAGAAGTCTACTACACTGAAGATTAGGAATATCAAGCCTATAGTTAGAACACTTTAATACACTCAATTTATTATAGTTGTCGAAATAAATTATTTTATTATACAGGAGTGAATCGTAGTTTTATTTAGTTGTCCTCTATGCCTCACAATCGAAGAATAACAAACCAGGTAAATCAATTCATTCGAAGCGTATTTACCCAGTCCCACATTTCAGATATATATATTCTTATTATTTCTTGTCACTCAGTGTCACAAAATCATTAGATTCCCGAATTCCCAACGACTGTTAAACACCTTCAAAAAGTCTATATCCAATGCCGGGATTTTGTTTTAAGGAAATTAAATTCACGAGTGTAAATAACCTAGCCCCCGACAAAACTTAAGGAATATTCACAATTCAAGCCAACGGGTTATTATTCACAATTAAACCTTTAATAGGTTATTTACAAAGCATATGACAACTGACAGCCATCATACTGATCCAATCATCCAAGTTTGCCGATACAAATTTCAAAAAGCGGATAATGATATGAAACAGGAGGTGAAATAGATGTCATTATGGTCTCCTGAAGTACATGAAGTCCATTCACTACTACGATAAACCAAACTTCTTTTGTACAAAGTTCTTATACGGCCAGTGTTGACATACGGATGTGAAATATGGACATTGACGAAGGCCAGTGAGAGTAAAATATTAGTTTTCGAAAGAAAGGTCCTTCGGAAGATATTTGGCCCAGTTAAGGACAATGATTCATGGAGAATTAGACGCAATCAAGAGCTAGCCAACTTATACGAGGAGTCGGATGTGGTGAAAAATATTCGGATAGCAAGGCTGAGAACGCAACCCCAAAGAAGCTGCTCAGCATGGAGCCGGGTGGAAAAAGAAAAGTAGGAGGACCAAAACTAAGATGGAAAGATGGAGTAGGTGCTGATGCTAGAATCCTTGGAATCAGAAATTGGTGGACGGCTGCTAAGGAGAGAGAAACATGGAGGAAAACTCTTGAGGCAGCCAGGATCCAGTAATGGATTGCTGAGTTCGGATGATGTTACTAAAAAACAGAAAAGAATGAATGTTTTTTACAAATTTTCATTTGGATTTGAATTCCTAACTTGTTTTAAAATAATTTTTACTTATTAAGATATAGTTAACTTTATTTTAGTTAGTTATCACTTTCAAGATTTGTACACAATCCAAATTAAATCTAACAAGTATGTTTAAATGTTTGCCATAATTAGCGATAATTATTGTTTTGCTTTATTATTAATAAAATAGGTAAATGCCATATAATGATTTAGGCGTTGCAGTATGAATTTCACCATTTCTTTATCAATCATCTTCATTTTTAATTTGTGGCCAGATTAATTTGGCAATGTTCGGCTTATAATGGCATTTTCAAACCATCTGTAAAGGTAATTTACGTTGTATCCTACTTCTCCATAATTTATACAACATGAATGGTCTTTCAGATGGCCGAAACGTTGCCGGAGTAATAAAGAAATGATGCATGCAGCCTAATTTTTTTTTATTACTAACTAGAATTTCGCCTTAAACAAAAAAAAATTTATTTTGCCGTTCTTTTTTTTTTTTTTATTACTAACTAAAATTTCGCTTTAAACAAAAAATATATATAGGTAAATATGATATGAATAAGATAATCCATATACGTATAACACATCATTCTAAAAAATATTAAGAGCAATAAAAAACTATTTAAAAAAAAATTAAGATATATTTTATAGGGGGAAAAGTCAATTCATTACAAAAAAATTAAGAAAAACGAAATTAATGATTTTTTAATATATTGAAAATATATTTAATCCATTCACTTCGTTTAAATGATATTGCATTTAAGGTAGTATTAATGTTTTCTTATAATTAAGTAACAGATAAATTTTTCTATAAAAATATAATATATTATTATATAAAATAAATATTAAATTATATAAATAATAATTGATATTTTATTGTACAAAAATAAAAATTTGCGCTCCATCCTGCTTCAGATCCGCCAAGACTTATAAATTATTACATCCTATAGAAAAGATTTATTGTTTTCTTAACTTGAAATCTGAGTTCAAAAAGTTCGCTGTATTTATAATTGTCGTCTTTAGCGGCTCACAGGTTAAAAAACGTTTCCACTGTTTTAAAAAACACCCGATATTTTGTTGAGATTTATTTATTTATTCTTTAAATTGATAAATGTATATTTAAATTACTTTGTTTTTCTTTCGGTCACGGGCGGATCTACGGGGGAGGGGGCTTTCGGGCTGAAGCCTCCCCCCCCAAAATGGTAAAACATAACCACGTTTTATGGAAAAAAAAAATTAGAAAATACCTCTTAAAGTATTATTGTTGGTGTAATTACATTTAAAAGGACTTAGGGAATCACTTAAACACCATTTCATATAGGTAGTTAGTTTCTTTCTGTTTTTCCAAAGTAAATATCGTTATTTTTACGAAAAAAAAAGCTTCCGGGCTGAAGCCCCCCCCAAAATTAAATCCTGGATCCGCTAGTGCTTTCGGTTATATCTTTGCTACAACACAGTTTAATGTTCATCTCCAACTTCCTGATGCTGAGTATCAAATCATTATTTAATGTACCTTATAAAAATATATGCGATTATCATATGTGATTGAAAAGCACATATATACATAAAGAAGCCATACATCCTGATATGCAATGCGATAAACGTTTAGTGAAACGTTTGGCAAGATCTTAAGACAGACCAAGAAGGACGACCCTGTTACGCCGAAGAGGGAAGGTGAACGACCTTAGCTGTCTCAAAACGTTTTAAAATTTAAATAAATCAAATAAAAATCCAAGAAAATTTGAAATTAATTCTGTTTTCTGAAATTACACGAACACGTTGATTTTGTGAGTGATCCTTGAAGAAATCATCTTTTATAAATTTTCTTTTGATATTTTAGATACATCATAAACAGATTCAATATTTATTCAAATTCGCTGGTTAATGATTGGTCCTCTGAACATTATTGACATTATTAGTTGGCATTTATTGAAAGCATGGAATGTATAAGTTTTGCATCAAATAACATTTATTATTTGCTAGTCTGCTATTTTTGCTCGATGTGTAATGTTGAATCAATTCCTTGAATTTACATTGACTGGACATTGCTCAATACCTTTAACTTACATTCTGAATAATATCTATTATTGGGTTTTTCCGTATCGCCAGCCATTCCTTAAACGTGTCAATTTTGTGTAAAATATATTTTTCTCGGGCAATGGCAAACATCATGAATATTTGAGTGGAAATAAGAAAATGTAAGCAGGTTTTTCAACATGAAGAGTACCCAAGCTAGTATTCATACTAATAAATCATAGTTTTTAGTAATAAATATTAGTGCATTTATATTATTTACGTATAAATGAATTTTAAAACAAAACTCTTCAGTCATGAGAGAACAGAAGAGCTTGTATTTGAATGAGTGGAATGAGCGGAATGAGTGGACTTGACTTATCCTATGCGAGAAACATATCGTTGGATAAACTAATAAATTGTAACTCCACCAATTTTTACATAGACATAGACCATTGATAGTTTAATCAAAGATATAACGTATTTAAATTTCAAATATCTTCTTCGTTTTTAAATAACAAAATAAAATAAATATATAGATAAATGTTATACATTTAGAATTAAGCACAGTAGAAAACTAATTTAATTAAAATTAAAATATATTATGTTATATTAAGTATCTTATATTTGTCCATTTTTTTTTTAATTGATATAAATATTTTTTAAAAACAAGCGAAATTTATATATACATTTTGAAATGTGTGTGTATGTATGTATGTATGTATTTATGCATGTCTATATATATTGACATTTCTTGTATGTTATGCTAGCTCAAAGATACGTACTTAGGGTAAGATAATCCACAATGTCACTACCAACTCTTCTTGGCCAGAACTGGTTCTTTGCTTGACGCGGCCCATCTCCCTCCCCCCACCAAACCTAACTCTTGAGGATGTATTTAACGAATACTATGGTTTCTTACCATTTATTTCAACATGTACATCACCTTTTTTTTCTGTGTTTGCTGTTGGCCATCCAAAGAAGGAACATATTACAGAGGTTTCATCGTACAACTCGTTACCAAACTTCCTACTTCTCCTTTCCAACTGTAATTATTTCCCTACTTTACAGTAGAGCTACAATTAATTTTGTCTCTTTAAGACTGTATTATTTTCATTAACACAAATTTCCAAAGTATTTTAATTTTTAATCGGAAACAACAAAACTATAATTTAATTCGAAATTATTTATTTTTAAACGTTTGATTCACATATAGCTGGTACATATAAAGTTTTAGGTTATACCAACTATTATTTAAAGGTTGACGTAGTTTTAAAAGTTTATGATTTGGGTTGGCATGTCTATCTGAAGAAAATAAGAAAACTGGAAATTTTCGTTTTCCTCGAAAATTCATTTAATCGATTTACAGAATTAAGTAAAGAGACGCTCTGCGAACCTTTAATCTTTGCCTAAGGTACCACTCTAAATTCAAGAGAAAAAAACGTTTTATTAATTACTTAGCAAACATATATATATATATACAGTTGTAAAAACAGAAATTAGGGAGAAAAAATAAATTATTGAAAATTCTACTAAGAACTGTCTCACTTTTTAATTTGTATATTTCTGCATCTACGATTTTTCAATATTGTATCAAACTCTACGTGCATAGTTACTTAATGACTTACCATAATAGCCAGTTAGAGTATCTCAGTGTGGTTGTTTGGCTCTCTTGACAATATAATTACTCCAAAACACACTGAGGGTTATTAACAACAGGATATGTGCCTGAATTCTTTACTCATACTGAAACGATTCCTTACCCTGCAATATATAATCCAACTCTTTATCACATTCCAGCCCATACAGAAAGCCTGAAAGATTGAACTCGCTACTGACGAAATCATCTCTAAGCGGCATGGAACTCCTCCAAATATACGTCACCTTCGATGTACTGACCACACACTCTTTCAATGCCCCTGGCCTGTAATATGAAATGAGCTGCCAACGGCAGATTATGTAACTAGGACTTCCCGAAGGGAGAAAGTGGTCGCTATTACCAATAGAAATAGAGAAGCCATTTCGTCTTCTCCGTCATAGCAATAAGAGGACAAAAAAAAAAAACAACACAAAAAAAACAACAGTAAATTACTAACCAGTAAATGTTTCGTGAGTTCAGACATCATGAGAAACGTAAATATGCAAAAAATATAAAGTGGTATTCTTATCATCTTCTCTAGGGCAAGGTAGACCAGTAGGTAGTTCATATGCCTGCCTAAAACCTTTTCGAACTTCGAAGACTTTAAACAGAGGTGCCCATCCCTCCCAAAATATTTTATTGCTATTCTCTTTTTAACAACAGTGAACTAAAGTATACTTTTAGAAATCATAAGTCATATAAATTACAGTTTCACTGGTCTATTCTATGCTTTCCTCTTGTCACTTGGTTTGAAACTTTTCATTTCGAAAATTCATAACACCCGCGAAATGTGTCCTCAAAAATTCAAAATGTGCCATAAAAAATTTTGATTGCGCAACTAGCGCCACGGAACCTCCTGGGTACTCCTGACTTTAAATATCTCTCTTTGTTTCTGAGTTCTGATCAATACCATCCCTTTCTTTCCTTATGTTGGTTAAATGTGAAACCCTCTGAGAGTAAGACATGCAATAAGAAAAAGACAAATAAACTTACCTCTTCTTTTCCATTTGATCTACATATTCCTATATTTTATTCATATCAGCTTCTGACTAAGTTAGTATAGTACCATTCACATCCACCTTACGTGGGCTTCTTATGTCTTGGATGAAGCTCTGATACATCTTATGTACCAGCAAGATATTTGACATAAATGACAGAAATAAATACATTGAGGACGTATACATATATATAGATTTATTTATTTATTTTTTGGAGGGAGGGGAGGAATAACCTTCACCTCACAATATCTGCCACACCGCTTTGATAATCTAGAGGCACAATTTATCCTAGTCCAAGCAGAGTGAGTAGGTCGAGATTTAATGGGCGGATTGGCCGAGGTTACTAACGCGTGTTGCTCCGCAAACTGATAATCGAAGTTATACGAAATAAAATAAGTACAAATTCGCGTCCCGGTGCCAGTGTGATTTTTAACTCTGGCTTTAATCCTCCGCCCTCGCCCCTTGGTCCGAGAGAATTCCGTATAGCCTAAAAGGGAAGGAATGAGAGAACGAAAAAAAAAGAGTAGAAAACACAAATCGATAACGAAAATTACTGTTTTTGCGAATTTCTGTTCCTCACAATACGCTAACTCTAATCCCTCCTAAAACGCCGACTTCTTATTTTCCTTTATTATTCAGCTGGTGAACGAAGGAAGACATAAAGTGTAAGGATACTTCATACTTGAAATAAGGTGAGAAGTCTTCTGTTGGTTTCATATCAATCAGTCTCTATTAATAAAACTTAGGGACTTTTTAGCATATATTAACTTTTTACTATATTGGGGTCGACTTAAGAGAAGTATATTTTTCCAACAGGCTATTGTAACTTTGTTCTACCGATTGGAGATTATATTATAACATATATTACACTCTTAAATTATCTTTAATAATTTTTAAATAAAAAAGCGTTGCTGGTATGAAGCTATCAAGCTGGCGATGCTTTCTATTAAGCCAGTTTCATTTTACTGATGGATCCTTTTGTTTTTGCGCACGAATTTCGGATCTTATTCAGTTAATGAGGCCCACTTGGCCGTGTACATCATATATGATGTATATAGCCGTGCATGATGATGATGTATGATAGGCATTGTATAGTCAAAGCGCGGGTCACAGCTAGATCAATAATATACTAGTAATGTTTAAAATATTGATCGTGATATAAAATATAAATATTTTATTATCGTAAATATGTAACTGGCAGTAATACTACGAAACAATTAAAATCTTATGTACCTTTTGTTAAAGAGAAGGGCAAGGATATCGAGCAGTAATTATTTGTAACTTGAACTTTCAAAACGCTGATTTTGTTCATATTAACTTGATAACACGCATTAATATTCTCTTTATTAGTAAATGAGGATAACGGGAAAGAGACTTATAGTATAGGTAGTAATTTAGGCCTTAGTAGTCTCAATTAATAAAATAATTTATTAAAAATTTCGTCACTTCAGGCATCTTCAGGGATACACAGGGTTGGCAAGAAGGGAATATCATGGCGCAAGTTGCACCATCAAAATTTTTGAGGTCACGCATTTTGACGGGGTTTCGAATTTTTGAGGGGAGTACGTTTCGATTATAGGGGAGTACGAGGGGGTTATGAATTTTCAGAATAAAAACTTTTAAACAAAAAGACTAGGGGAAGCATGGGACCGAATGCAGGTAATGTAGTAGTACTTAATATAAGATTTTTCTAATTCTACTTTCGCTTGAACTGTTTTTAAGAAGAACTGAGTAATAAAATATTTTGGGAGGAAAGAGGTGCGCCAACGACCATGAAGGAAGAGAGAGATGGGCATCTCTGGGGAAACTATCTGATTTCATAGGCATTTTGTCACTTTCCATCTGAAATGTATATAGAAAATCTCTCAGAGGACCTACTGATAGACACTAGTCCATAGATAATTTTAATAAATCATTAAAAAAAATTATAACGAGCATAATTATATAGAGTAAATAGACAAACCCTACTTATGTATAGTGGTAAGCAGCTTTTCACACCTGGTCCAGTACACACGGATTAAGACCAATCATTCCAGCACGGGCGGATCTACGAAGGGGCTTTCGGACTGAAGTGATAAAATGATAAAATATAATTTGATGGTGATAATTAAACAATGAGATAATTAAACAATTATCTTTTAATGTATAATTGTTTGTGTAATTACATTTAAAAGGGCTTTAGGAATCACTTAAACACCAGTTCATATAGGTAGTTAGTTTCTTTCTTATTTTTCTAAGTAATTATCGTTATTTTTATGAAAACAACAGCATTCGGGCTTAAGCCCCCTCAAAAATTAAATCCTAGTGCATACCAGGGAAGTAGAGCGAATATTTTACCAACATTAAAATATTTAAACATAAATATAAAATATTAAAAAAAAGACATATCCTGACCATTTTTCGTCTATATAGTAAATATCAATAATTAATTTTACTATGTTTTATTAAAAATTTCTAATTTTAAACTATGTAAATATAAAATTCTTTTACAGCCTTACATATTAGGGATCAACCAACAGACGTACATAAATATTATTGCTGATTTAAGATTCTAGTTGTTTCACAAAAGAAATTGTTTAGATTTCCGGAATCCATTTTAAAATTTATAACATTATCGGGGCTCTCGGATACATTGAGTGCTTCGGAGTATTTTAATTTTTGTTCAGAAATATCATAATAGAGGATCAAAGAGTTATCAAAATCAATGTTTAAAATCCACTGCATGTTTAACCAGTTTATTTACCAGTGCGGTTATTTTTTTGTCATTGTAATCTTCACAACAACTTATGCTGGTAAAGCTTGTAACAAAGATTTTGGCTTGTCATGCCAATGTGGAAATTAGGGCAATGTAGACGATTTATTTTGTTTTGTTTTTCATTATTTTATTTATTGAGTAATAAAATATTCTTTCACATGGACAATAATTATAGTGAGGTAAGACACATTCACACTATATGTACAAAAAATCTGGTACGCGCAACACACAACTTTCACTTACTCTTTGAACTTTGAATAAAAATTATTTTCTGGCCATGTTAGGCTATTATAAAATGTTTTAAATTGCATTTTAAACTGAGCTAAAGCTAACAAATCACAAATGCTATTAAAATAACAAAAGTCCTATTTATTATATCACCGGTTGATTATGGATTGTACGATTCGTTGATTATGGATTGTTCGATCCAT